CGCATCAGTGATGTTTAACTTGATGCAGAAGTATAAACCAGACAAACCAAACTAAATTTTATTCCTTAAAAGTCTTAAATTATCTGAAATATTTTGTTGTTGTAGATATTAAATCATTTTAAACCGGTGATTATTTCCCTATGGCTAATTAAAAATACCCAATCTGGCCAACACCTACTCACCTATAATCCATCCCAAAACTTCTGTTTTTATTTATTTATTATTATTATTTTTTTTTTTTTAATTCGCAACAAGTGTGTTCCAGCACATTCTCCAAATGAAATTCCCTAATCAGGGAAAGAAAACTAAAGCAACACATCCTTTTACATGATCTTCCATTAATCCAAAATCTATTTACAGAAGTAACCAGGCAATTAGAAAAAATCTTTAGTGTTTAGCCCTGTACAAGTCAAAAATTTTATTCATAACAGTTTAAAAAGCGTCTTTTAAGTTTGAAGAAACCTGCAGAAACCCTGATTTCAGGATATTTTTAAATCGTGTAAATGAACTAATATTTTCTTTTCTTTTCCTTTATGTGTGCAGGATGAAGTTATCGCCGTATCAAAGAAGGTTGTGGTGAGAGTGGAGGATCTGGTGAAATGGACTTGTCAGGAACCTCCGAATTGGAGATGCAGCAGTTCGAATGTTAATGAGCCTCAAAAGTCTGACGAGTCACAAGATGCTAGTTCTCCACAGGAAGGAAAATCAGAGGGCAACGGTGGTGAGTTACTGATGAAATATCCTGAACTGTGCTTTTTTTTTAAAGGACAGAATGACTGTCTGTACAGTAAAATACAAATGCAATTGTAGATTGTGTCAACTTTTCTCATGAATATTACTTGCATATTGTGTTGTAATTAATGTTTAACAGGCCCAGATGTTGATGATTATTTTTTGGAAGATAAACCAGGGTTCCGTTCTTCGTACCTCGCTTAAATGATCTAAGATTATTTGGCAGATCCTGGATCTTTTAATCTTGATAATTTATCTCTTGCTAATTTGGTTCTTCAAACAAGTTCGCGAATCAGATTAGAATGTCTGGATAAACTGATCTGAGATCGCTGCGTGTGTTATGAAGGACAGATCTATCGATCCTCGAAATCATGATCAGCAATGCAACGATTGGCTGACGGCACAGCAGCGTAATGACATCATCTGATTAATATTCAATTATCCATGTGAGCAAAATTACATCAAATTAGCAGTCGACGGTTTGTTAAATATGACTCGCAAGAACTTTACACATTTGTTGTGAGCTGCAGGCTTTACACTTTCATTTGTCAAGACAAGAGTATTCATCATGTATTTCAATGCAAATCAATGTATTTAGTTCTACATTTAGAAAAGATTGTCTTTATTATAGTAGCCGTTTTTTAATCTGTGTAAAGAATAACTGGTTGTTTACAAAAGCTTTTTCATATTGGTAAAGGTGTCTGCAACTTTTGTGAAGCATCAAATCACTGGCATATTAACTATCAAAACATGTTTATGACAGCATAAATGTATTATTGCTTTAAAAAAAGTCACATATTGTGTATTTCTATTATACACAATTTGTACTAAAGCGATCTAAAAAGTTCATATCAATAAGTTTTCTCTTTGCACCAGATGGCAGTCTTTGTACTTTCATTTCGAGGGTGCAGATTGCATAAGTTTTATTAATATGTATAACTTTATTTATTTTATTAATGACTACTTTATATATATAGTTAAAAAATATGTACCATTTTCCCAAGTGTATATAACTACTGTAAGAAAATATCAGAATTCAGAACATACTTTCTGTATTATCTTTGCTTGAACTGAGCCGATCTAATCCTGTTTATATGAATTGAACCTGCTTCCGATCAGGTTTGACCTAGCAGAACTGTTGCCATGACAACAACTCTCGGATCAGCTTTGAAGAACGAAACGATCCTGGATCGTGTCAAATCGTCAACATCCAAATCCAGCTAACTGAGTAATCCACGTACGAAGAACGGACCCCAGGAATATTGACTATGCACATTGTGTTTACTCTTGAAGAAGAGTGAGCAACAAAATGACTTTGAATGCTTTTTGTTGCTGTTAAATAGTTTTCAATGGTGAAATCAAACAAAAAATAATGGGAATATTACTTTACATTTTTATAGCAGTGTTGTGCATGTTATTTTTAATATATTCTTTTGTCTATTAGTTATAATATTTATAGTTTGATTTTACTTCAACTTGTCAATCAGTTGTCAAAGCATATATATATATATATATATATATATATATATATATATATATATATATATATATATATATATATATATATATATATATACATACACACACACACAGTTGAAGTCAGAATTATTAGCCCCCCTGAATTATAAGCCCCCCTCTTTATTTTTTTTCCCCAATTTCTGTTTAACGAAGAGAAGTTTTTTTTTTCAACACATTTCTAAACATAATAGTTTTAATAACTCATTTCTAATAACTGATTTATTTTATCTTTGCTATGATGACAGTAAATATTATTTGACTAGATATTTTTCAAGACACTTCTATACAGCTTAAAGTGAAATTTAAAGACTTAACTAGGTTAATTAGGCTAACTAGGCAGGTAATTAGGGAAGTCATTGTATAATGATGGTTTGTTCTGTACACAGTCGAAAAAAATTAGCTTAAAGAGGCTAATAATTTTGACTCTAAAATGGTTCATAATAAATTTAAAACTGCTTTTATTCTAGTTGAAATAAAACAAATAAGACTTTTTCTGGAAGAAAAAATATTATCAGACATACTGTGAAAATTTCCTTGCTCTGTAAAACATTATTTTGGAAATATTAAAAATAGAAAAATAATTCTGACTTCATTTGTATATGTATGTAGGTTTAAATCGGTTTAAATGTAATTAAGCTTATTTTACGTAGATATCTAAAGGCATGTTATTATGATCTCTTATTAAGGAGTGATTTTATAGACCGTTTACATTTTATGTGTGGATGTATGGATCAAAGGAAATATATTTCCAACTTTTATAAACCTTGTTTTGCCTTCAGATCGCTTAAAATCACTTTGAAAAAAAAGTCATTACAAATTTTACTACCGTTTATTAAGGGCAGCTGTTATGGTTGCCTGGTGATGAGATCTGTCCTCTGTAGGCTAGATCATCTCATTTCAAAACACTCGGTTTAGCCTGTGTGTACTTCGAAGGACTCTCATTTGAAGTCCGCATCCTTCAGAGGATGCAGCCTCTAAAATGAGACACAGCTAGAGTTGATGATTCGGTTAGCTGGATTTGATTATTGACAGTTTGACGGATCCAGATTAGTTTAGCTCTTCAAAACTCATCCAGGTGTTGTTGCCATAGCAACAGGTCTATGAGTTCAAACCTGCTCAGGAGCAGCTTGTTTCCTGTTAACAGAGTTATTATTTTTTTTTAAAGCAGATGTGATACTAAAAGACTATACCACCAACTGCTGTTATTTTCCTACAAGAATACCTGAGTGCATTGGAGAAAAATAACAATATAATTTCATGTTTTTTGTTTTGATTTATATATATATTTTTTTTCAATTGATTTTAATAAAAAAATATTTTACATTTTGTTTTTAAAAATATTTTAAAGGTTTAATTAAGAAATGTGAAAGATGATGTTGGGGAGAGGCTGTTTGTTCTGGTTTGAGCTGCATGGATGGAATTGTCGATGTTAAAAACTACAGATTACAGATTTTAATGTATTATGCCATTCCTTCTGGACAGAATTTCGGTAGTCATAGTTTTAATTTTCACCATGATAATGATCTGCTGATTGCATTGAAATCCTATTTGGAGACAGAAAACAACTGATGAAATACAGGAGTCATGAAATGGCCTCCACAGTGTCCAAACCTGAATATTATAGAGGCTGTATGAGATCTCCTGGACAGAAAAAGACAGACATGACACTATAAACCTAAAGAAAAACTGTGGAAAGTCCTAAAGGAAGCCTGATATTACACGGCATATTATTTCAGAAAATGTCAGGACTATTAGAACAAAACAGTTGCCAAGCAAAGCTGCATTAAACAGACTTTTGCTTGAAGAAATGTTGTGCTTCTGTTGTTGTTGTTGTTTTTACATTTCCTATATTTTCTGTTTTTAATAGAGCATTTCAGTGGTGCCATGGTATTGGCCCATGAACATTTCCTGCTTGTTATCAAACTATTTCGTAACTCTAACAACAAAATAACATATTCATAACTTAATGTTTAAACAGCTATCGCAACATTATTTATCAATGTGTGGCTCTTTTTGGATTCTCGAAAGCTATAGAAATTAAAAATGTTAAACAGGAAATAATCGAGACCATTGTTTTTGTTTACATTCCTCAAAATGGTCTATAAACAGTCTTGTGCAAAAGTCTTAGGCCAACAAAGCTGGTAAAGTGCCTGAGACTTTTGTACAGCACTGAAGTTTTTTTTTTTTCTTTTTCTATCCCAGATGTTTTAAAGATGTCATATAATAACAATCTGTATAAACCCAAGCAAGCTAAATAATAAGAGTACAGTAAGTGAAAATGGCCACACTCTGAGCCTCAAAAGGCATTGTTTCCTCATTCTCATGTAAATCCTATAAGTGTAAAACCCGGTAAAAAACAGGCCTATCAGAACAAAACACAGACTTTTATGTTGCCCACAGGATCATTAATTAGCACTCCCTCAACATTGGTGATCAGAAATTCAGCAGTAAAAACGCAGACTGTGTTTTTATGCTTGTATGAAACCTACTAAGTATTTGGGACTGCTATTTTGAAAATGAAGGATGCAGGAAGAGCAATAAAGGCAGCCAGGTCTGCAGATTAGTTTTCTGTCTTGCTAAGCAACTGATGCCAATCAAAGTTATAATAGTTTTGGATTTTCATTAGTTCTTATTTCATTTAGACCTTTTGTTTTCAATTTCAGTTAGTTTTAATTGGCTTTTAGAGGTAGGTTTACTTGTTTTTATTAGTTTTATATTTTGAAATTGCTTAGTTTTCGTTTAGTTTTTATTAGTTTCAATATTAGTTTTAGTTTTTTTTTAATAAATTAGAATTTGTTAGGTGCAAGATACAAAATCATCAGAAAATTTTATAATAATTCAACAAAAGATATATTTTTAAAACGTGTATTCAGAGGACACAAGAACACCATCTAGCCATCCTTAAAATCAAATACATCAGCCCACAAAATAGCAGTTCTAAGTGCAATATGAGTGCAAGGCTGCATCAGAACACAGTCGTGATGGTAGTCCAGATCTTTTCCGTGAACCGGATCTTTCCTGACAGTCCTCCCATGTTAGGCTCAACATATCTAAAATATGTAATCAGCAATCATAAGTTCAATCAGATAAAACATCACCATGATCTGAAAAGGTTTCTTACAATCAAGTTTTGCAACCCAAATAAAGCATGATTCACTCACTTCAATTGGATTACGACTTTCTGTTATGAAATAAACTTGCATTTTGCCAGACCCTTTTATTTAAGCCCTCGGTTTACCTGCGCAGCAGTTGTTCAAGTTTAGTTCAGTCACGGCAGGCTGTCATGCACCGTTTGTGTTCAATTTATTGAATCACACATGCGCATTATTATGAGTTTACCAGTTCTCAAATTCGAGCACTAATCTATAAACTGGATAACTCTAGAAATTGGTTTATTTAAAGTTAGAAGGCATATCAGGAATGTTAAAAAGTAGGTCTTTGTGGATAAATGCTAAATGGAGACGTGAATCGCCAAATGATTGTTCGATTTGGTAAGCTCAACCGGTTTACTCAACCGGAAGATCCGGTTAAAAGAATAATTTGTTCGCGATCAGGATCACTAATACGGAGATAAATCCCATTATTGGACATAAATGTGTTAAATTAATACTTTTAAGTGTTGGCTCAGGTTATATTTAATGCTTTCACCTTGGTGCTGTCATGTCCAGTCGTTGCTTTTGTCGCTGAAGCAAATGCGAAGACTGACTGGAGGAGGACCAAAGGACTTGATCTGGCCAATGGCATCGGTATAACAGTCTCTGAGGTGCCGTACGGGTCAAACACCTGGCAGCACGAAGCAAATACATTTAAATCTAAAAGGCTTACAGTTTGTATTAAATACATTTACAAAGACGAAAACGAAGGACATTTCTGCTATAATTTTAGTTAGTTTCAGTTAGTTTTGCATGTACACGATAGTTTCAGTTCTAGTTTAAAAAAAAACAAAACTTTTTTTATTATTTCCGTCAACGAAAATGTTTTTCAATTTTACTTTTTGTTTTTATGTTCGTTTTCGTTAACTATAATAACCTTGATGCCAATTCACTGCAGTTCACCACTATAAATGTATACAGCGCCACTCTGAAAGAGGCATAAGGTCTGTTTAATATGATCTGTTAAATGTATTGTGTATATTTTTAAATTTGCCAAGTATGTTTGTAATGAGTCAAACACTCAGCACTTTACTCATCACTTACTTGTGAATTTTGTTATTTGATTTTTTTTCTGGAATAAAGGAGCAGCAATACACTTAATAAATGCCATCTGCGTGTGCAAAGGATGATATTAATTCTGTGTTTTTATTTATATTTTATATATATATATATATATATATATATATATATATTATTTTTCAGCTACAACTCTGTCTGTCTGTCATGTTGGTTGCGTATAATTATAATTTGGCTTATATTTCAACCACAACACTAAGGAGATAAACCAGTTTTTCTGGTGGATTAAAGATAGCTAGAAAAAAATAAAACTCTCTACCACTTCAAATAAAAAGATCAACAAGGTATGTATTCTATTTGTTTAAATATTTTCGGCAAATGAAGTAGGATTATTTTGCTTGTTACTTCTGAGTAAGGCAAGGCAAGGTAAGTTTATTTATATAGCACATTTCACACACAGTGGCAATTCAAAGTGCTTTTACATAAACAGAAATAAAATAGTATAAATATAAGTATAAAAAAATAGAAACAAATAATATACAAACAGATGAAAACAGCATAGAGACAGCTTAGTTTTTTCTAAGCTGTTTTTTGCATAGAGAAAGCTTAGTTTATCATATGTTCTCATTTTACTCCGGGACTTCCTCATTCTGGTGATCACCCCTCTCTGTGGACTTTTTAGGTACTCCCTCCTGGGAGTAGATCGCTTTAGTCAGCCAAACGTATTGAAAGGCCTTGATCTCAGCCAGACGCCAGAGACTTTAACCCCCTACAACAGATTATCTGTGGCAAGTCATGTCTCGGATCTCACTTTTTAATTGTTATTACACTGCTATCCCACAGAGACAGATGTGTCTACCCTTATGGTGATAGGCCAAGTTAAATCATTTAACTGCCCAATCAGATATAGTTGATTGGGACATCACAATGACACTGAGCTGTGAGAACATTAGAGCGGAGCTCATTAATATTTACAACCATACCAAATATGGTCAATAAGGACATTATGATTCTGGAGGTAATTCCTATTTTTATAAATGAGCATAGGAACTGTTTCTGGGGAAAATTTAACTCTACTTAGCCATATACTTGCTATATAGATATCAGAGAACAATTAAACTTTTACACAATCAATGACACCTTTAAGCGAAGTATGAAGAACATGCCTCTGGTGGCTGATAACATAGATTAACTTTTGGCTGGTATTGATTGGCAGTTGTATTCTCTCGTTTCAACATATAATCGAATATCATTAGTATTTGTTTGATGACTGCTGATTTGGTTTTGTTGATAGTACGGATTTTTGTTCAGACTAAATGTATGTATTGGTGTTATGTGTTCTCTTGCAGACGAGTCTCCAGTCCAGCACAAGGTCAAGGTTCTCAGTTACCCTCAATACTGCCGCTTCCGTTCCCTTCAGAGACGTGTCCCAGATCAGGCTAGCTGCCCCGGCCTGCAGGACCCTCACCTGCTGGCCCTGGGGGGCATAAAAGTGGCCCTCCACAACACACGAGTGCTCTACTGTCGGGACACCTTTAACCACCCTACTATAGATAACAATGCTAGCATACTGACACAGCTTGGTGAGTGCAACAAGAGTAGTAAACATCATCCATGACCTTTGTTGTGACAAATCAAGCAAATCTATTAAAAGCGATCACATCTCAATCCCATAGAGAGACAATCCAGACAAATGTCGACACAATCCAACCTTATGGTGCAATACTATACAGTACGGGTTACCCTCATCAAGCTTTGCATTTCTTTAAGTACCTTTAATGTGATGTTTATTTATGAACTTATTGAGAAAGGATCATGTGCTTATGATTGCTTGTGGCTAGTCCCGCATTACCTAATTTATGATTGAGCAGTCAGATGAATCCTAAGCCACTATACATACCCTAATGCCTAGTTCAGACTGCGTGATTTTAGCCCCGATTTTGGCTCGCCGACAGGTTTTGAGAAATCGCAGACAAATGCCTGAAATCACAGGTAAATCGCTGCTCGTGCACATGAGTGACAATCACACAGTATGAACGATCAAAGACGCGATCTGAGAGAATCGCCGATGAGTCGCCGATGCCTGCGAGATATTTGGCGTGCTAAATATCTGGAGCTGTCGGCGATGCAAATCATGCTGTGTGAATTGAGTTTTGACTGAAAATAACATCAGCGATCGCCTAGAGCCAATGAGAGAGCGGCATTCACTTGTGTGGGCGTGTGTGTATACCTGCTGTAGGCCAGCGGGAGGCTGGGGGAGAAGTTAAAAGCGCTCATTTTCGGTTTATTTGGACCCACAAAATGGAGGGACAACTAGTGGAGGTTTGACAGGACTCAGGAGCAACCAAGTCTGTGAGTCCTCAGGAGCAAACCGTGTTTCATACAGAAAGAAATTAGTTTAGTATAAACGTTGAGGAGAAATGGCTAATTTCCTTTAAACCCAGGTGAGCAAACATGTACATGTTCAACCCCATTAAAGGCTTCTTTCTTATTATGTAGTTAATAACAAAAGATAGGCTATACTACGTGTTTTTGGCTGTGAGACGTAGTTTGGACGAAGTTGTCGGCGATTCTCCCTATAGTAAAGTCATGCAATGTGAATGTCCCCGTCACTGATACATCTTGCAGTGTAAACAAAGCAGCGACGAAACGCCAGCCCAGATAGTCAAGCAGTGTGAAAACATCTGTGACACGACTAGTTGGAAAATCATGCAGTCTGAACTCGGCATAAGTTCCATATAACAGCCGTCTTCGTTTTGAAGAATCCCCTCTTCCACCCCACTTCTCCTCCTTTCCTAGATTGGTGACACGGTGGCCCAGTGGTTAGTACTGTTGCCTCACACCAAGAGTGTCACTGGTTCTAGTTCTCACTAAGCCGGTCGAGGATCTTATGAGCTCCATGCTTTCTCCCGATACAGTATGCCAAACAAGCTTTATAATCAATCATCAGCTAAGTGTGAACTCTTTGAATGGTAGTTGTGGTGTACAACAAAGTTGGAGTCAACATGATTCTTAAGAAACAGGACATTCATATATCGCTTATGCACTTAAGCTCATTATTTCAAATCTAGATGCGTACACAAATAAAGAGAGAAAGCAGCGCCTCTTATGCTTTTCCACATACCACATGAGAAGTACCCCGTAAACAACAATGGAGAACTTAGCATGTGGCTATTTGTCTAGATTGGTTTGAGCATGTTTCATTGCTGCGCCATCATTGTATTATTACACTACCTGACCAAAGTCTTGTTTTAGGAACATCGAATAATAACTTGACTTCTAGTTGATCTTCAGAAGTGGCTTATATGAAATGCAAAGGCCTCTAGATTACCCAAATAAAATATGCTTTGATTTCTAATTATTTAATTAGGAGAGAAAGCTCTGACTTTGCTTAGACAAAAGTCTTGTCACTTAACAGGAATAATGTACAGTGTAGAATATAAAGTCATGCTGCAGTAGAAAAATAATGAATATTGTGTATGACTCTCTGAGCTTTGATGACTGCATCCATACATCTCTGCAAGGACTCGTATAACTTATTAATAAAGTCATCTGGAATGAGAAAGAAAGCATTACTTCAGGACTCCCAGAGTTCATCAAGACTCTTTGGATTCATTTTCAATGCCTCCTACTTCCTCTTACCCCAAACATGCTCAATAATGTTCATGTCTGGTGACTGTGCTGGCCAATACTGGAACACCTTTGACCTTCTTTGCTTTAGGAACTTTGATGTGGAGGCTGAAGTATGAGAAAGAGCACTATCCTGCTGAAGAATTTGCTCTCTCCTGTGGTTTGTAATGTAATGGGCAGCACAAATGTCTTGATACCTCAGGCTGTTGATGTTGCCATCCACTCTGCAGATTTCTCGCACGCCCCTATTCCGAATGTAACCCCAAACTATGATTTTTCCTTCACCAAACTTGACTGATTTCTGTGAGAATCTTGGGTCCATGTGGGTTCCAGTAGGTCTGCAGTATTAGTGATGATTGGGCTGCAGGTCAACAGATGATTCATCAGAATAATCTACCTTCTGCCACTTTTCCAAATAATCAACTAGAAGTCAAGTTATTATTTGTTGCTCTTACAACTTGCATCGTTGACAAGACTTTTGTCGTGTGTTTACACACTCATGATGATTGCTTAAAAACCAATAGGGTTCAGCTTAATGTTGTTGTACTAGGCCCAAAAAAGTGGTATGGTTTGCTATTTTGGTGGAAACAGAAATATATCCATACCCAACTACACTGAACCATAACGCTCAGTGAAACACAGTTGTCAGTTAGTTCACACACTCTGTCTGATGTGCGGTTATTATTCTACAGCTTATATGAAGTATAAATGTTTGTTGTTGATATTGTGAATGGTGTAATTTCATCAGTAGTAGTATTGTATTCTGCAATCTATGTATCACGAAAACCCTAATATAGCATTTATTTTTTGGTTTGTGTTTGAAATGATTGTTATAAATTGCAGTTGTTGTGCTAATGGCATTTCTTTGTTTAATAATGCCCACACTACTTCAACAAGAGAGTTAAACGAGTCTGTTTATGTTTTGTCAAATCAATTTACACATTATTGTCAAAATGTACTGTACTGATGTCTAAAAATTACATACGCTTCTGTCCCAGGATGCACCTCTCTCAGTCTAAAGGGGCGACCTCGAAAAAGAAAGGGCCTGGATGGCAGTGGATCCGATCACAACCATTTATCAGAATCGTGGATGGAAAGGATGAAGGTATGCTGTGGAGTTTGCGCAGCTCAATTTATAGACAAGTTCTCTATAGAGACATTCAGGAATACAAAGCTGATGGCTAAACAGGATGTTTTAAGAATTTGAACAAATGGTAACACGTACTGTTACGTCACTATATGCTTCCTGTTTTGGTTCAGCTTTGATGTCTAGATTTCCGTTCTCACCATTTGTCTTTTTTTGTCTGTTTACTGTCATTTTTGTCTTCTGTCAAATACTAAATGTGTAGTATATCAAAAAATGGGGTTATAAGCCGCTAACTAAACAAATCAAATCAGAGCTAAATATGACATTACAACATTTTATTGAAAGCAATATATTAGTACAAACAAAAAAGACAGCATAGTTTCATTATGGCACACTTATTTTACAAACATACAGCATAGAAATAGCTTATATGAGACCTGTACTCATTAGTCAAGAACTAATATGAGGTGATTTCTTTCTGGTGCGGTGATGCATTTAAAAATCTTATAGCAGGTGTATTTTGAAAGTGCATCGGGAAGTATTCATAGCATTTTTTTTTTTTATGTTACAGCCTTCCAAAAAGGATAAAATTTTTTTCTCAAATTTCTACACTCAATACCCCATAATGACAATGTGAAAAAAGAGATTTTGCAGTTGTTGCAAATTAATAAAAAAAACCCTGAAAAATCATGTTCATAACATTTTTAGACCAGCTCAGCTCGATGACGTTTTATGTCTCTGACATTGCTTGAAGTCCCATTTAGCAACTTGATACAAGTCGTCTTTGTAATGAAGCATAATCGATTTCAAAACTCAAGAGTGTGATGTAACTGATTTTCTTTATGTCGTAGAATAAAACGTGAAAGTATCTTGAGTTTGTAGTATGCAAAACACCTATTGACTTTGGAACGAGGGAACCGGAACTGCTAAAATGCTAACTCGCTTTCGGGTTTTTGGATACAAATTGAGGTCATAGTTCCTCCACACTCTGAGATGTACTGTGCATTATCTGAAAGCAGAATTAACTGTCTTTCCATTGATGTTTGGTTTGTTATGTTTGGACAATATTCTACTGAGGTATACAGTTGAAGTCAGAATTATTAGCCCCCCTGAATTATTAGGCCACTTGTTAATTTTTTCCTCAATTTCTGTTTAATGGAGAGAAGATTTCTTTAACACATTTCTAAACATAATAGTTTTAATAACTCATTTCTAATAACTGATTTCTTTTATCTTTGCCATGATGGCAGAACATAATATTTTACTAGATATTTTTCAAGACACTTCTATACAGCTTAAAGTGACATTTAAAGGCTTAACTAGGTTAATTAGATAAGGGGTTCCCAAACTTTTCTGCCCGCGACCCCTGAAATACCAATGCCAGTGGCTCGCGACCCCCAATATCCTCTGAGGTGGTTATAAATACAGAAACTTTGCATGCAATGGTGCACACACACCAATAGACCAAAGTCTATTCTTCGTAGATGTATGTTAGGGCTGTAAATGAGCCAGAAAACTTAACCTGATGATCAATCTGCTGCATCTAAAGCTATTGCTGTGTCTTTAATATAATGTAATTACCCCAGCGATCGCAATCCAATAGAACTAGTAACTATAAGTTACTATAGTAACTATATACAGTAGTATATAGTGACTATAAATGACTATTTTTTTTCTTTTCAGTAGGTTATGGATAAAAAATGGTAATTCTTATGGTTTAATAAAAATAAATAGATTTTTGGAAATCACCAGGCGACCCCCCCCCCCCCCCTTTTGTCCCATGAACCCTCGGGGGGTCCCGACCCCCACTTTGAGAAACACTGAATTAGATTAACTAGGCAGGTTATGGTAATTAGGCAAGTTATTGTATAACAATCATTTGTTCTGTAAACAGTTGAGAAAAAATATAGCTTTAAGGGGCTAATCATTTTGTGCCTAAAATGGTGTCTAACAAATTAAAAACTGCTATTATTCTAGCCCAAATAAATAAAAAGACTTCCTCCAGAAGAAAAAAAATATTGGCAGACACTGTGAACATTTCCTTGCTCTTTTAAACATTATTTGGAAAATATTTAAAAATAAAGAAAATAATTTAATGGTGGCTAATAATTCTGATTCAACTGTGTATCAGTTAATATCTGGAATCTGCATTTGCATATTTCTATTAAGAAATTTAGTTTTTGTATGTTTACAGTATGATATTTGCTAAATCTCTTCATGGAACAGGAGCTTTACTTAGTGTCCTTATGGTTTTGGCAAAAAAAATTTGATTAAAATATATTATGATCTAATAAATCTATTTATCTTTAAAAAAACTGGCTTTGTGATCCAGGGTCACATATGTACAGTGTATGTTTTTACAAAAAGGGCACCTCATTTATTAACCCATATCATTTGGATTAGTTTTACTCACAGGCTTGTAATTGTTAACTCTCCACCAATAGCTGGTGTGTGGTGAGCGCACTGGCGCCATTGTCCTGTGGCAGCTGTCGCATCATCCAAGTGGATGCTGCATACTGGTGGTGGTGTGAAGAGACCCCCCCTCATGATTGTGAAGCGCTTTGGGTGTATGACCATACATAATAAATGCGCTATGTAAATACACATTACATTACATACATTACATTACATTGTTGAACTAAAAGGGTCAATTTAAAAGTAGACTACTTTCACGTAGCTGCCATTTTAAAAGCGAAAGTGAGTCACAAAGGAATGGTGTCCATGATGGCATGATCAGTGAAAAGAAAGTGACACAATTTTATAATTTCACTGTTTTCCGAGTGGCCCGAATGTCCGTTCTGAATGGATAATAAGAATAAAAAGAAATCGAACCTCATTTTCAGATAAGTTAAAGGAAATGGCACTAGTTAGCTAACATTACCTTTACCAAACTCACGTTTTAAATGCCACTCATCAAACTCAAGTTAATAAACTGATTCTTTCCTTAATTTAAACTTGTCACGATACAGAATTTCGGCACATATCGATACTGAAATAAATAAAAAAAAAACATCCATTTTTCGCTAACATTTGAGTGAGTTTTTAAACACCGCTGATTTGTCATAGTGTTCACCAGTGCTCAACAGCAATGACTGTGATTGGCCATGAAAGTCAGTAGTTCACCGCACTTCACCGAAGTTTACCGAGTGCAAACGAGAGATCCGCTGATGAGTGAGCTGATCTTTGCGGCTTTAAAACGTTTCAGTATCCCTTTGTCTGTGTTTTGTGTTTATCTGGTGCCATAATCTGAAGCCTAGGAGGACACTTAAGTGTATAACTCTTAAAAAGATTGATTTAGTTTAATGCCTAATATGCTTTTAACAGTTTAAATTTAGCTTAACTGAATGATTTTGACAAGGTGTTTACACCACATCTGCATTTTGAAATCGCAGCAACAGCTGGAGGTTTGTAGTCCAGAGCATGTTGCAATTGTAGAAAAAATTACATTGGATTTCCTTTAAATAATCTTTACTCTTCCCAATTACCAAGAATTTTATTTTGTGAGCTGTTTAAGTAAGATCTTGTAAATGTGTTGTTTAAGGGAGTGTGTAATGTTTATTTTATTATGAAAAACGTTTTAATCAAATCTTTTTTGGACATAAAATAGTGTATAGACAATTTTCATATGCTGTCAATTTCATAAGTTGGTGAAGACAATCTGAACTGGTAAGAATTGGTATTAGCAGGTCACACTTACAAAGATTACAAATGTGATAGAATCAACCAAGAAAATTGTGGTGCTTTTGTTAAAGGACACCTATTATGAAAATCAACTTTTGATGGCTATTTGGACAGAACTGTGTGGAGGTATAGTGTCCATTGTCATATTGGTGTGATATAAACTCAAGTCTCTTTTTAAAAATTTCCTGTTAAAACAGGACCCTAATCCCAGTGACTTTAATGCCCACCACAACGTGACATAGAAGTGCGATTTCATGTGACAGAAGTGCAAACACCAAATTGATTTACAGGCACCATGTTTCTATAATAACATGTAAACAAATGCTCACAAAACTTTCTTTGCTAAGAAACTGGCATTAAAATATCAGTTCCAACTCTCTGTGAAGTTTAAAATCTTTTTAAAATGGAGCAAGTTTGTAGTAAAGACTTGTAGTAAAGTAAAATCGCTATGTAAATCTTAACCACTATTATCACCACAGACGCATGGTGTCAGTAAATGCTAATATGTGTGAGTGTGTGTACTGCAAACTGCATTCGTGTGTGACTCATCATTTCAGAAAGGCTTGAATATACTCCACCACAAATACATGAAAGGTATTTTTGACTAACGAGCTGTATTTCAGCTTCATCTCAGTCTGTCTTTACCACTGACTGCTGTTTATCTGATGTAAGGCATGAGAAGCAGACACGTGTGGGAGCAGTGGGCGGGGAGAAGCAGCTCTTTTGCATTTAAAGACAAAGGCTACAAAAACAGCTACACTGTATTCAGACACCAAAATGGCCATATTCTGGAGGTTACAATAAATGATCTGAATGGTCTCTTGAGCTGAAATTTTACAAACACCTTTCGGAGACACCAAAGGCTTATCTTACATCTTGTAAAAGGGGTAAAATTTGTGCCTTTTAAAAAGTGACTTTCATTGGTGCTGTGACAGTAGATGGTGAAGTTTCATTATTGTGACTACATCTTATTTTTGTGTCTGCTGTGATTGATCAGTTTTGGAAGGAAAACCCTTTACTTAAAGTCTGGATAAAATAAAGATTGACAATCCCGTTGCTCTTCATGAGGTTAAAATGTCATTGTTACTCTACAAAAGGAGGAAATAAACTTTTGGTTTATCTTTAACGTGTCAAAAACTAAAAATTGGTTCTGATAGCTTGGGCAGGATATCATTAATCAGTCCAATCTAACTGTTTGTTTGCTGTGATGAAATAACTCCACCCTCTACTAGGGCTGCTCGATTTTGGGAAAAATCATAATCACGATTATTTTGGTCATAATTGTAATCACAATTATTCAAAACGATTATCAGTTAAAGTCAAAATTATTCGTCTTCCTGTGAATTTATTTGTATAATATTTCCCAAATGATGTTTAACATTTTTTTTTTCAGTATTTCCTATAATATTTTTTTTCTTCTGGAGAAAGGCTTATTTGTTTTATTTCAGCTAGAATAAAAGCAGGTTTGAATATTTTGAAACCTATTTTAATAGCTCGATATTATTAGGCCCTTTAAGCAATATATATATATATATATATATATATATATATATATATATATATATATATATATATATATATATATATATAAATGTTTGATTGTCTGCATAAGAAACTACTGTTATACAATGACTTGCCTATTTACCCTAATTAAGCCTTTGAATGTCACTTTAAGCTGAATACTAGTATCTTAAAAAATATCTAATAAAATATAATGTACTGTCATCATAGTAAAGATAAAAGAAATCAGTCATTAGAAATGAGTTATTAAATCTGTTATGTTTAAACTGTGCTTTAAGCATCTTCACTGTATTTTTGATTTTATTATTGATTAATAATAAAAACAGTCGGCAGCAGCAGGAATATCGGACGCTGTCACTTTAAGAATAGTGCGGCTCTGATATGGTCTCTCTTTCACGCGTCTTTTGATTCTCAACTTGTGTGTTTATTAAACAAATGAGGGTTAATATGAATAATCACTAAACACCGCGCTCTGACACATATGTGCATGTACTTGACCATTAAAGCGCTCACATTAAGGTTGCGTTAGATGTGTGTGTGCTCTGCTGTCCGAGGCTAAGCGAGGCGCGCGCGCAAACACACACACGCTACCTGTCCAAGGCTAAGCACGGCGCGCACACACACAACAGCACGTGCTCTTGCGCTTTTAAAAATATGAATGATGCGCATCCAGTGCTGCAAAAGTTACATTACAGCAAATGCTTTTAGTCAATTTCACGTGGAACTGAGCTTTGCAGAGGCAAAGAGTTTTCACACGTGTACAAATGGAAAGGCGGCGGTACGTGATGGAATAATCGTTTATCTCGATTAATAGTTTTTCATAATCGTTAAAAGCCAAAATCGAAATCGAAATCGGATTTTCGATTAATTGCACAGCCCTACCCTCTACTTCAGTATTGTGGCACATTTCCAGCTAAAACAGAATATTGAATAAAATGAATAGGAACTTTCAGTTCACACACACTTTAATGTGCTGTAATTACTTCCTTTAGGAGAATGTGATGGGTAGTGTGGAGATGCACTGGGATGGAAACTGGCTCCCACATCCAGAAGAGCAGCTCTTCCTGGATCAGCTATTTATCTTTATGCAGCGCAGAGGTTCTCCTATAAGCAAAGTCCCCAATCTTGGATTTAAAAAGAGTACGTATGCATTTTCTGGATTTACATGTAAAAATGGTTAAGTATTGACTATATTACTCTAAATACTTTTGTGTAGTTTCCACCTTAACTAAATAAGCTTTTCTTGATTTTTCAACAGTTGACCTCTTCCTCATGTATTCAGTTGTAAAAAGGCTGGGAGGCTATGACAGGGTAAGTTTGTCTTGCTGATCCGTTACTTGGTCCTGCTGAGTAAGCTGTAATCCATCATAAAGGAATGAAAGTGATAGCTGTGAACTCTGTAGTGTAATTCAGAATCATTGTCCTTATTGCCTGCAGGTGACATCGCACCGTTTGTGGAAGACTGTGTACAATGAGTTGGGTGGAAGCCCAGGCAGCACCAGCGCTGCCACCTGCACCAGGAGGCATTATGAAAGGTGAGTGTGTGGCTCTGATTACAGCAGCAATTCACTCCCACCGCCTGAGACGACTTTGATCAACTAACTTCTGGCTTTCCTTCTCTGTCAACCAATTCTAGGCTGATGCTTCCTTATGAACTGTATATAAGAGGAGAAAATCCAGAACTTATCAAGTCCAGAGCTACATTGGTCTCCCCCACTTCAATCAAAAAGACAGTTCGGGGTAAAGGGTTGTCAAGCAGCCCAAAAAAGAATGCAGTAACCAACCAGGTGAGGGTTTTACTTCTTTATATAAAAAGTAAAGACCATTTTTTGGTTTCTGTACTCTCAGCAAGATGGGTAAAAAGATGCAGAAAATTCTCCTCTTAAAAAAAGTTTTTTTTGTTAGTTTTTTTTAAGTCCTTTGTGCAATCTAGGCTTTGTGTAGCCATCTGAAGGTCTTACTAGGTGGAAAAAAGTATTCGTTTTGTGTGTAATGTGCACGAGCAACTAAAATTATTGTTCTTTCTCCTGCTATACCTTTAGGGGTTATCACCAGATGGTGCTGTTGTTGTACGTAAAAGAGGAAGACCACCTGGAAAACGCAATGCCAAAGTTCTGGTCAAGGGCAGAGTTGGAAGGCCACCCCTGCATCCCAAACCTCCCTTAGAGAAGCCAGCAAGACCTCATCAGGAGATCGTCCAGCCATTGACTTTTTTTCAAGAACTGAAGCTCACCAACCATCCTCATGGCCAGGGACTGTCCCTTGTATCCTCTACCCCACAGCCCCTCCAGCCCATACTGGGGCGAGATGTAAAGGTGGAGACCGCAGAACCTCAAGCTCCCTCTTTTCTGTCAGTTCCTTGCAAGGTGTTGGCAGGTGGTTCCCTAGAAAGATTCAGTCCCACTAAAGGACTTTGTCCTTTGGATCTCTTCAGAGCCCGTCTAGGCCTTAATGGAGCTCATGAGGTAGCTCCTCAAGATTCTTCGATAAACCACCAAACTTTGGTCAACCAGCCTAAAGTCAGCACACCTGAGACCCCTGAGAGCCCCCAGCACCAATGTTCAGGGTGCTGTTCAGATCCCTCATCCCAGAATGGAGCCCCCCGAGCCCCTCTGCCCCCTCTTAGGATTATCCCGCTTGACATAGGCTGTAGCCTGCAGTTGCGTCAACTGATGCGCACCCGTCTTGGCTCAACACACATGAACACCTTCACCAAGCGACTTTCAGAAGTTCTGGCTCAGGATCTCAACAAGACCTCCCAACCCAACGGTAATGTTCCTCAAGAGCAATCCCTGCCACTGAACTTGAGTAGGAGAACCATCACCAAGAGGCCTGCAGGGGACATGGAGCTCACAGACCTTCAGAGTCGAGAAGTCCAGTCTGGGACCAAGAGGCCGAAGATGGAAGCTGAGGATTTTGGAGTGTCTGTAAAATGGAATGGCTTGTCCTTTCTGGTGCCTTTGAACCAAGATGAGCCAGCAGATCTTAGCTCTCCCAGCAGGGCCAGAGCTTTAGTACAGGACAGGAACAAAGTAGCTTCAGCTCTTCCCGAACCCACTTGTTTCTCTTTAGTGCCAAAATCAGATGTCCCCCTTGAAATCCCCTCCAGTATTGGTGCTTCACCGGACACTCTACCTTGCATTTTTCAGCTGAAACAAGGGGAAGACAAGACCAGCACAATTGCAGTGACAGTTAAAGCCGAACAAGAAAGCACATCTCTGGATCCAGATCTAGAACCTCCTCAACCAAACAGTGACCTCTACTCGCAGTGTGTACCTACTGATGATATCAAAGAGTCGGATGCAGTTTCTTCTCTCAAAGTACTTTCTAATTCTTTCCTTTCAAAGCCATCAAGCTGTTAGCATCCAGCCATGGGAGCGTTATAAACTTTTTTTTTTATCACTCCTCTCTGCTCAGCCTTTCCCACAGACATGTTTGTGTTGCATATGATCAAAGAGACTGTTCTGCAGATCTACTAAAAGTACCTGCTTTTAAAACACTACGAGACTCTGAACTGATGCAGGTGGCCATGGTTCTACCAAAGATAAGGTGCCTTGAACTTGATTAGACTATATTTTAGTACTTTTAAGCTGAAACGTATGCTGTAGTTAGTGGATCATCAAGTGGCCAGCCAATAAAGGACATTTATTATGACTCATGGAGCATTTGGTTTCTTCTTTGAAAATTACAGGTATTAAAGAAAACGGTTGACACCGATATTTGGAATCAACATGCCTATTGTTTCTTAGGCATATACGCTTTGTTCATAAATGCTCATTTGTTTTTGTTTTCTGATGAGAGCAGTGTCATTTCGTGGGTGTAGCTCATATTCTCAATCATTATTATTTATGTTTTACTCTATCTCAGTTCTGTACTGTTCTTGGACAGTGTGATTTTTCTACTTTATGTGTGTATTTGTTGAACTCCGCTATTTAAAATCTGGCCACCGTATGACCTCTGTGCTGGATCTTATATTTTCCGTAGCTATTCGTTTAAAACAATGTACTGTATTGTGCAGATGGTATGTGTATTTTGGGTCCCAATGCAAATATCCTTTTTTTTTTTCCTCACTCTCTATTATTATTATTATTATTATTATTATTATTATTATTATTATTTTAAAAGTGCATATTATTAACATATAGTCATATATTGTAGATAATTCCGATTTGTGTTCCTGCTAAACCATTGGATGGTTACCATAGACATCACAGACATGTTTACAAAAGGACTGATGTAGAACCGCCTGTTGCGTGAAAATGGGTTAACTTGATTTGTTTTCCACTCCTCCTTTTAGACCGACCTCTCTTAATGCAATGTATTTCACAGGTTTACAGATGACCAATTATATTTAATAATTTCCACTCAGTTTGCTATAATTAACAGCAATTAATTACTTGTGTAAAACACCTTTGTATCATCCTTTATTAATTTGCTGGTCATATTTTGATTTTCTTTCTTTCTTTGCATTTCTGTACTTGAAAGGCAGCCAAACAGAACGCTAATCCCTATTTAATTTTCTATAAACTGTTGTAATGCCGCCAGGTTACAATTTATTTTCTTTCTTATTTTGCATGCTTATGCTAATGGAACATGGACTCTGTGACGGATTGTCATTGCAGACATGTTTAAACACTGAATATTTATAATAAAAAAATAATGTTGTACTGACATGCTGTTATATTTTGCTGAAATAAATCCATGTCAATAAAACTATTAAAAGCTTGTACTTTGGAGGTCACCTCCTTTATGATTTTACAGTAGTAACAAGCTACACTAAAATCATAAATGTGGTCTTTAAGGTGTGAGACGCTTTATTGTTTTACATGAAATGTATTTTTTAAAATCAGAAATAAAAACACCTTGAGGATTTAAAATAAGCAATAGAAACCGTAACAGGTTTCCGCATTATTAATTGTGGGTTGGTTTACAGTAAAAGTTCCTAAATTTGAGCATTGATTTCTATGGAAGCCCATTTCCACCACTCAATAAAAAAGAAAAAAAAAAAAACGCTTGCGACTTGACGGAATTTAAAAAAATATTTATATCACAGGCTGCACGGTGGCGCAGTGAGTCACGCTGTTGCCTCACAGCAAGAAGGTTGCTGGGTTGAGCCTTGGCTGGGTCAGTTGGCATTTCTGTGTAGAGTTTGGATGTTCTCACCGTATTCATGTGGGTTTCCTCCGGGTGCTCCGGTTTCCCCCACAAGTCCAAAGACATGCAGTACGAGTTAATTGGGTAAGCTAAATTGTCCGTAGTTTATGTGTGTGAATGGAAGTGTATGGGTGTTTCCCAGTGATGGGTTGCAGCTGATAGGGCATCCACTGCGTAAAACATGCTGGATTAGTTGGCGGAAAGCCGACTGAATGAATAAAGGATTTATATTGCACAATTTTGACTTTCTAACAATTTCAATGTATAAATTCAAGTCTGAATTTTGCAAATGTGACGGTCAGAATTCTGACATTATAACTCACAACAGCAACTTTATCTCAGAATTCTAACTTTGTAACTTGTAATTGTGACTTCTTATCTCAGACTTTTGGCTTCTGATCTCATAATTTTTAGAAAGTCAAAATTTAGAGTGTGTATCATGTTATTTTGAGATGATAAAAATTGCAGCAGGCCTAACCTTTATTTTTTATTATTATTCAGTGGTGGAAACAGGCTTCCATATAGTGTCTGCAAATATTAAGATTGCTAGTTGACATGTAGTTGCCAAGTTATTTATGGTTAGTGGAAGGTTTTGAGTGGACTGTCAAAATGAAGTGTTGCCAGCATGTTTACCCTGCTGAAAAAAACAGCTTAAGATGGTTGGGCGGTTTTAGCTGGTCAAGCTAGTGTTAGCTGGTCATCTTCCAGCTAAGACCAGGCTGGAAATGGCTGGAAACCTGTCAACCAGCTAAAACCAGCCAACCAGTCAAGACTGGTTTAAGCGTTTTTTTGTTTTTTTTTTTCCAGCTGAGAATTTAATGTTTCCACAGCTATATAAAGTTGAAGTCAGAATTGTTAGTTCCCCTTTAATATTTTTTTTTGTTCTTTTTTAAGTAATTTCCAAATGATGTTTATTAAAGCAAGGAAATGTTCACAGTATGTCTGATAATATTTTTTCTTCTGGAGAAAGTCTTATTTGTTTTATTTTGGCTAGAATAAAAGCAGTTTTTAATTTTTAAAATCATTTTAAGGTCAAAATTATTAGCCCCTTTAAGCTATATTATTTTTCAATTGTCTACAGAACAAACCATCGTTATAAAATAACTTGCCTAAATACCCTAACCTGCTAACTTAATTAACCTAGTTAAATCTTTAAATGTCACTTTAATCTGTATAGAAATCTCTTGAAAAATATCTAGTCAAATATCATTTACTGTTATTGTGGCAAAGATAAAATAAATCAGTTATTAGAAATGAGTTATTAAAATTATTATGTTTAGAAATGTGTGTGTTTTTTTTAAAAATATCTATTAAAAAGAAATTGGGGGGGGGGGTGCTCTTAATTCTGCCTCCAACTGTTTGTGCATTATATATTTATATTTGTATACATGTGTATATATATATATATATATATATATATATATATATATATATATAGCACGTTTTATTGTATAGCTATAGATTTTTTGCAAGATAACAAATTAACCTTCAACTTTTATCCATTTAATATCTTCATGTTTTTGTGTGCTTTTGGAAATGCAAGATGTCCCGCGGGAAACAAACAGATTGAGACTCGCATTAACCATAAAGTTTCATGAAAACTATCAGAATTATTCTAGCCATTTAAATCCAAACTAAAAGTAGCAAGTAGTATTTTTTTAAGAAGGGCAGTACGTATAACGTGTAAATACATTTAACATTACCGACTGTTGACGAAAAGCTTTCCAAACAAAAAGACTTTCTTTTGACAAAACCTTGATAAGACGGCTAAAATATACTTTGTCCTTCATAACGTTGTTCACGTCAAATCCAAAATGGCGTCTAGATTCAGGTTTTTTTTACTTACTGCAGGTTGTTTTACAGCATGGTTATTTTGGTGAATTTTGCTACGGGAGGGAAATCAGTCACAGATAGACTCATTTATAATAATATATCATACAGTTTTGTAACCACAAGGGGGCGATATTATCATATTTTTAAAAGCTCATGTAAACAACACTGAAGTTAAACGTCCAAACAGGCTGAAATTTACACCAATAATGTCAAATACCAAGAGCAGACTTGACCATCAACCCATTTTAAGCAGGGGATTGAGGAGCTCAGTCATGTCAGTATTTGAACAGGATTTTCAGCATTTTCCAAAATGCAGTTTACAAAAACATAATAAATACCCTCAAAGGATCCAGTTTTTCATGAGGGGATTTTTACAGCTAAATAAAGTTGACAGTTCCTCTGTTTGTTTTTTCTCCCTAAAACAGCTCATGGGTCTTTTCACTGGTCAGGCTCTTGTTTTAACTAAAACGCACTCCATGGGTCTCGCTTTCATATGTCTGGAATGTGGATTGTATTTTCACTGAGCTCCAGCTTGTGGAATAATGTATGCTTTACTAAACTCTTGTTTTCAAGTATCTGAAATTACCAAATATCTTGAAACCAACAGTGCATAAACTACTCGCTTGATCTAACTTCACTCCCCCTCTAGTCCACTTTTTTTTTTTTTTTTTGTAACAATCAAATTTTAACTGTGTGTGTGTGTGTGTGTGTGTGTGTGTGTGTGTGTGTGTGTGTGTGTGTGGATCATGGATAAGTAAAGTGTTGTGGATGTGACTGGAGTCCATTGATGGCATTAATCAGATTTCCTGGAATGATGGCTGTAATTTGAACATGCAGTCGCTCCTCCTGTGACATTAGATCACTGGACAGATGAATGGAAATAAAATGGGGTTTCTGTTAATCTACTTCCACATGCACAAAACTGGAAAAGGAAAGGTTTTCATGTGTTGATTTAATATAATAGCACCTATTTTTGCAGCAAGCATGGTGGCTCAGTGGTTAGCACTGTCACCTCACAGCAAGACACAGCACTGGTTCGAGTCCCGGCTGGGCCAGTTGGCATGTGTAGTTTGCATGTTCTCCCTGTGTTGTACGATTTTAAAAGGGAGGCAATGGCACCTAACCCCACCCCTAAACCTAACCATCATTGGGAGATGAACAAATTGTTCTAAATTTACGAATTAGATCGTACAAATTCATACAAATTATAATAGCCACTAAATCAAAAAGTTACGAATTGCCTTGAGATAGCATTGGACTTTCTTCTGGGTGCTCTGGTTTCCCCACAGTCCAAAGCTATACGCTATAGATTAATTGGATGAGCTAAACTCGCCATAATGTATGAGTGATTGTGTGAATAAATGTGTAGGGGGCTTTCTTAGTACTGGGTTGAGAATGCTGCATAAAACATATGCTGGAATAGTCGGTGGTTCATTCCTCTGTGGCAACCCCTGATAAATAAGGAACTAAGCCGAATTAATGAATGAACCTATCTTTGTCTAGATATTTGTTTCATTTGTTGATATGCTATAGGGTCCAGGCACTTTTTTATTTGTTAATCCAAATAATTTTTCCCTCTACTTACTTGGTTCAGATGATTTGATTAACACTTTCCTTGAACGTTTGTCTAATTTTTATGAAAATCAGGTCATCTTCAGACCTACTGACAAAAGCA